AGCCACAGCTTCTCTGGGCACCCTGTTCCTTTTGGCAGATGGAGTGGCAGTTACGTGTGACTTCATTACCTCCTCTCCTCATCTCTGATCCATAAATGAGATGAAACCTTTCGAGTCTGTTTTGAATGGAGACAAGGTGCTTCTCATTAGTCAAAGAAGTTGTTGTGCTGTTGGTACTATTACTTTGGGTATTACCCAGAATGTGTTTCGGTGGTATACACTGTGGACAGGTAAAGTAACATGCAGCTGCTGTATCTGACCATTGGTGAAGCTGTCTGGCATGGAGAAAAAGAGAAAAAGAGTTCATTCCTTAGAGAAATTTTCCATCCTCATATGGGTTTTAGTTGGCATACCAGAACACAGCAACTACCTTCATTACCCTTACCAGTGCATCATTACACTAGAAAATAAGATACTCTATCCCACGCAAAGATTGCTGTGAACATAATTTCATCCAAACAAGTGCTTTTTTGGCAAAAGCAAGAATGTCGGGAGGAACCAAAGCTGAAGCTGTGAACATAGAGACAAGCTGTTTATTGCAGATTTAACCTTAGACTCTGGCAAGAGGGAGGACTCAGCAAGTCTAATTTTGGTGTTTATATAGATGGTGATCACTGCTTGTTGTATTTTAATTAACCTTCCCATAAAAGTAACAGTGGTAACAGTGAAGATTCTGGTAGTTTTTGTGGGATCTTTAACTCTTCTGTTGTGCTCTGTGATACACTTTACACTTGCTTCTTATGTTACCACAGACTGAGGCCCTTGATGGTATGTTTATGAATATAGCAGTGAAATTTGTCCACATGGATTAGTCTGTGGGAACACGGCTGTACTTGGGTTCAAGTAGTAGGTTTGTTACTGATCTGAACATAGTTGTGGGTATTTTTTAATGAAAAACCATTCACATGAAAGTGCTTCATTTGTATTTGTTCTCAAAGAACAAACAGAAAAATCACAGCAAGAGGAAGCATGTTCAGCTGGGTGAAATCATTATTTCTTTGTATCTATGTCTTTGCTTTCCCATTTCTTCACATAAAAGAAGTTGAAGTTGTCCTAATGGCACAGAAAGTTATTGCTTCCTGCTGCTTGTGGAATCTCCAGATTATCACGTCAGTGTAGCTCCAACGTAGCTAAGTCAGTCTCTGTATTGCACAGGGATAGAAAGGCAAAGTTGAATTGATACTAAAAGGATTTTGTCCTCAACTTGCTTCACCTCCCCCGGTGAAGATTTTTCAGAACACTTGTTAGCACTAAGTAGGAAAAAACAAGGCTTAAGAGCCAATTTTCACAATGCTGTTTGTTTTCAAGAGTAGAATGGGCGGAGTGGAGCACGCAGCATCTATGCTTGCTGGCTGTATGGTCTGTTTCCCTCTTCCCTTCCCATGGGACAACCATTCCAGAAAAATAAATACTATGCCCCATCCCTGGCAGTGTTCAAGGCCAGGTTGGACACAGTGGCTTGGAGCAACCTGCTCTAGTGGAAGGTGTCCCTGCCCATATCAGAGGCTTGGAACTGGATGAGCTTTAAGGTTCTTTCCAACCCAAACCGTTCTGTGGTTCTATGTTTCTATGATTCTGTCACTTTAATACAGGTAAAAATCCTGGCCAATGAACCTGAATACCTCTTCTAACTGAAAACATAGTATTTAGCTTATTATGTGCTTTACGTTAACATATCCTGCTTGCAGCACACTGGCTAGTATATTTAAGTCTCTAATAGTTCTGGTGGGTGAGGAAAGTAGAAAAATCAAGTAGGTGCCATCCTAAACTCACTTTTTTTCCAGGGCCATTTATTTTCCTGTACCCTCAGTGCAGAAGATGGATTACTTTTGTGTAGCAGTTCTGTGCTTCAGTAGTCTTGCACTTCTTTGGCAGCAAAAGCTAACAAATCGAGTCCTTACCTGTACCTAAAGGGAAGGATCTGAGCAGAAAATGAGAGCAGAATCCCCAGCTGCTGGAATGGGCTTTGATGGACACGAAGAGTCATTGTGAAGTAGACTAGCAAGAAAAATCCAGTCCCCAGTGAGGCCACAAGGCATACGTATGTACTCGAGTCTCACAGACACTGCGACGCTGGCCCTTTTATTTGCCTCTCCAACATACTTCACAGAAATAGGGTTTCATGGCCCAGTACTCATAGGCCATGAGACCATTTCTTATTATGGAGAAGCCATTAATTACATTTTTCAAAACCTATTGATTTCAGGAGGTTGCAGCAAATGCTATCCAGCAATAGCAACCCCAGCTTCATACTGATGGTGAATTTTATAAGTGAACTTCGTGTTTGCTCCCTGAGTAGGTCTAGCTACTGGGTTTTCTTACCTCATTCCAGCTACAAAACGGATTTATCAGCCTACGCCAGAGAGAGTTTTCTCTATATCTTGTATTCTGCCTAGCGGAAAAAAGTGGAGACTAGGGATTAGAGTGGGGGTTGCAGACAATAGCCCTGCAGCTAAATCTGGCACATTAATTTTGTGGTGAGCAAGGCTTGATTCTATCAGTTCCAGTGTTTTTTCCTACTGTGGCTTTGTACAATCTCTTGGTTTTCATGCCCCACAAATGGAGTTCTGCTCCACCGGACATGTTACTGATGATGAATTAAAGTCATTAAAACAGCCTCCAGTTCTCCTGGTCCTGCCAGGCTGGGTCACAATCCCCTAAGTGAAAGTGGATTTTAAAGAGAAGATCTCTTTCCTTAGCAGCTCAGTATTGTGCCAGTAGCCTACAGTAAAAAAAGCACTGAAATGTTCCTGTCTGTAGGTCCAAACCCAGGCCTAATGACTTGGCTGTGCACTGGGGTCTCACCACAGCCATTCTGATGGTAGACATTTCGTGTGCTAAATAAATAACGTAGGGTCTGGTTTGGGTTTTTTTTATGTAATTGAGTGAAATAATAACTCCTTTGGGCTTATTTCAGAGGAAATTCTCGCTAGTCACATTGTGATCGTACTGATAGAGTGGAACTCTGATCCACACGTGGATCTTCTCATCCCAAAATAAATTGGGGGGGGGGGTAAATTATGTAATTAGTTTAAACTAAACTGCAAAGAACTGCTAGAGGTGAAGGTAAAACAGCCCCCCATACACATATAGGGACAAGAGCATGGTACTAGTCCAAACCCACACTCTTGCTTTTTTCCACTAGAGAATTGTGAGAACTCCCAGATTTGTACTGTTCCAGCATGCTGACTCTTACAGCAACTGCACTGCTCATATGCACGAGCCATGGAGGCTGTACTACTCACTTTTAAACAAATCATATTAGAACCTTCTATCCATACACATTCACTGACTAAGCATGGCGTAGATATAGTCAGAAGACTAAGCTATGTCAGGAGCAACTGAAAAGTGCTAAAATATCTTGGGGTTTCTGTTTACCACCCGTTTCATGTATTTCAAGCCTGAAAATAAATATTTATGCATTTTCTTATTTAAAAATGGGGGTGGTGGGGAACAGAATGAGCAATCCTGTAGGAACTGTGTAGATGCTGAACAAGAACTCAGGAGGGAATAAAGACAAACACAGGTCTGGAATGCCTGGTAGTTCTCAGTTTCTTGTTTGCTGATAATTTGATGACAATAATGTGCTGCATTTCCACAAAGGGCTTCACAGAGCAGGTTCAGCTCTCCAGCAAGCCCTGCTACAACACTGGCAAAGAGTGGATCAAATTAAAATGAGCACTTACGGGCAGCTGCTTATGGTCTTACAAATGCAAGAGACATCTTTATTTTTGCTATTTGGCAGAAGAAGATCCCACTATTTTCAAACACACACCCCCCCAAACATTCAGCTGAAGAAGGTTTGAGGGGAGGTGCTGAAAAGAAAATGAGGCTCTGTTACCAAGCCTGAACTACCTATATATAGTTATGCATGTATAAAAATACTTTTTATATGTAACTAAACTTTGAGCAACTGCTCTCAACTTGCATTTAGCTTTAAAACCTGTTTCTGTGTTAAACTTGAAGGATGTGGATGCCCAAGTCTTGCCCAATTTGCTCTCGGTTTGTCTATGTAACAAGGCACTTTTTGTAAACTCAAGTCAATGCAGTAAAGAGAATTAAGAAACTTCCTATGGGCAGAATCAGTCTTTGATGAAAATACATATTTAAAAGACATTAGTCAATTATTAGCTAAGATGCTGGAGCATTAGAACTCTTCACAAAGTGACCTTTGACTCATGGACCCGTCCCCTTTGCAACTGAAGCCTGAAGACACCTCTTCTACCAACCAATCCCCTGAGCTGTGGGGATGGGGTCACGTGCAGTTTGGTCACAGAAAAAGCCCTCTGCAAACTCAAGTATCCCCATCAAAAGTCCCATAGCTGGTGAAGCATGGAGCTCCTTGTAAATGTAAGAAAATGGATAGAAGATAACAAATCTGCCTTTTTGCCACCTGTGTGCAATAAGCTTATGTAAGTAAATGAAGTTATTTTTCTTTTTTAGATCTATAGTCTTAGCCATAAGAGAAAGCTGCTAAAATGCATACATTGTAAAATCAGTAAGAAACTGTAGTTCCTCTCAGAGTGCAGTCAGAATGCTGTTTCAAAGAATAGGAAGTGACTGATACCTATTTTGCAATAACTCAGCAGAAGCTGTAAAGATCAACTCAAGCACAGTATATTTGCCTCAACTTAAAGTCTCTTGTAGGCAGTTAAACTGAATTAAGGGGATTTGTGTCAGGCCTTGTGACAATAAACTCATTGAAATCAGAGGAGGTGGCATCCACATCCGCAGAGGATAAGGTTTAGTAGCACAGAGTGGCACCAAATTACAACTTGAAACAGTTGTTAGAGCTGCTGAGAGTCATTCCATCATCGCAGAGGAGCCAAAGCTGCACAAGCAATCAAAACTGGTAGGACATATCACTGGAAGATAAGGAGAAAGGAAGGGAAGGGGCACCAGAGGAGTAGGTTTCCAGGGCATTTCCAGAGCTGTCAAGGCCAGGGCAGGGAGGCTGAAGAAGCAGCTTGAATCTATGAACTGTGTTCTGAATGAGACAACTGATATAAGGAAAAAGCGTGGGCACTATGCAGTTGTACAGCATGCCTATTCTCAGTGAAGCTGAGGATGATATATTTTGTCTAAAACTGTGTATACAGAAGGCTTTCATAAGAAAGGATTCTCTCTAAGGGGTAATATAAAACCAGGTTTTAAAAGGAAAAGCTTTATTTTTTTGCTTTAAATTAAAAATAATAATCTTGCTTTACAATTTGAATCATTAAGAAAGCAGCAATGAACAGGCTTCTTGCCCTACCCTGAAATGCTCCCTGTAGTCAGCAACTGAATGGGCAGTACTGTACCAGCGATACTAATTTCCATTCAGAGGTGTCATTGTAAGTGTTATCATTTCTTTCATTTCAAAAATGGATTTGGGAAGCATTTTGTAAAGCATATCCATTTCTAAAGCTTATCAATGGTGGCAGTAAAATTTTAGTGGTTTTCATATGTGGAGTATTCGTGGTTTTCTTTCCTCATCAGTAACAGGAATCATTTGAGTACGCTGTTCTGTACCTCCTACCAGTAGTTCTGTGTAACCCTCAAGTATCTCTGGAATTTGACATCTATCAGAGGTCTTCCCCATAAACATTGTAAGAATGTTATAAGAAGGCACAATGAAACAAGGAACAATTTTTGTTATAAAAAATACATAGATTGAAAAAAATAAATCCCATTTTCCCAATGTAGCTTCAGCCTGTGAGGGAGGAGAGGAAAGCCATCTACTATCTGGATTCTCTCACCACCTGCTTTAGTGCTACCTAAGTGTCTTTAGAATTTTCCAAAAAGATTTAATGCAGTTTTCCAAGAAGTAACTCATAGATTTCCACCATTTTTTCAAAGGCTTGATCCCTTGTGTGCTGAGTAGAGATGTATAAGGAAATCTCACTGCCTGCTACATCACTGGAAGGCAGCTGCCTCAAAACATTTAAGTAACTTCTGATCCTACATTTCAAGAGAGAATTAACAGTTAAAATCTAGGTCTTACAGCAAATCAGTAGAATTTTTGGTGTCTCAATTTATTACTAGGCTTTTATTCTGTTGTGTTCCATACACTTGAGAGGATCAAAACTGTTAAATACCTATTTGGGATTTCAGTTCCTGGATCACCATCTCCATAGAGTTGTATCGGAGTCAAGAAAAGGACACAGTGTAAGAGCTGCAGGTTAACTAGATGTATTTTAATGACATTACCTTGCAAGTTTAAATGCTTGTTAACCTCAACAATGAGCAATTAGTGCAAAGTCAGAACCCTTGACATAGATGTATTTTACAGGGTAGCTATGGCACTTTTAAAGCTCTTCTTTGAGTTCAAGAATCTGATACTTACCATAAGGAGACCTAACTGTGGTTATGGACTATCTGATTCTTCATGATCTTGAGATGCCTTCTGGTATCAATTTCTTTATATCGTTAAGAGGAGAAATATAAGAGTACACAAAACTTAATAGGCCATTGATTAGGACCTCATTCTAAAAAATGTATAATCAAGTAATTTTCATACCTCAGAGACCTTTACAATCCTCTAACTGCTTTTTGGCCATCAGAACTGGAACTGCTTTCCTTCCTAAGGTTTTTCTTCTTAACTTAATCCAACTGTATTAACCAGACAACTTTATTTAGCAATACAGACAAACAAACCTATTGGAGTTCCTGCTTGTTTGTCATAGCTGGAATTTTTTGGTGGTGTAATCAGATACTTGTTAGTGATAAGAATGATTAACCCATAGCTGCCTGTTTCTTGTGTAAAACCCAGCCAAATCCATAGGGTAACAGAATTAGTGGCGGACTTGCCAAACAACAAGTTATGCCACAGTGATTTTTAGAGCAATATTTTCACTTTTAATTACTGAATTAGTAACAGAACTGTATGGGTTTCGATAAAAAATAACCCCTCTTAGTAGCAGGATACAAGACACCCTTTCTCTTGTCTTTTTTCATTGTCTTTCTTTTATTCTCCAGAGTTGATTAGAATTTATTTCATTAATTGTTAGCTGTGCTGTTACTGTTTTGGTCTTCCTGCCCTTTTTTAGTAGGAGTGTTTATTAATGCAGAAGTATTACAGGGTGTTCTCAAAACCGAACATTAAATCTGCATGGTACGAACAGATCTGATTTCGGTTCCTTATTTTAGGATACATGCATGAAGCCAAGTGCTATGATATATACAGCTTCCTGTAGTGAAAATGATCAGTTTAAGAACTGTAATCTAATTTAATTCTTTAGATTTTTATTTGACCAATTAATTTGGCGTTCAATGCTTGTTATTTCTGCTTTACTAGTCTCTACTGTGTTGCTTATTATTGTTTTAATACTCCAAAAAGTAAACAAGATAATGGTAACAGATCAAATATGTATGTTCAGCCATTCAGAATAGCTTCTCTCAATTAAGGCTTGCAAGCTGCTAACACACAGACACATTGTTCTTCTCCGTGTTGCGGGGGAACATGGCTCTGCTGGTTCTGTGTTACTAGCATCTCCTGTTAGCTCAAGTATTGCCCAGAATCTCCTCACTGAAAAGCAGAGGTCAACACACCTCAGTTCTCATATCAAAAAGAGGTTAAGAACAAATTTTGAATCACAGGCACCATTTATAAGGGAGAGAGGCGGGGGGGGGTTGTAGCAAATGAAAACCTGCTACCTTACCTTTTTATTAGTGTAAGTGCAGTGATAGATAATTGGGGTTATATCTATTCTTTTTGACAGCTGAGAGAAGTGCTCATTTGTTCTCTTACAAGGGGCAGAGTTAAGATAAAGGGCCTGAACTTCCTTTTCTGAATCAGCTACAACCACAATGAAACAATAATAATGTTCCACCTTAGCAAAACCAGTATAAATAGAAGAGAAATTAGCTGATAATTCCATTGTATGCCTGGTAATTCTACCAATGGGGGGGTGAGTATGTTTTTACTTTTATTAACCTTTAAAAGTGTTTTACCTTTACAGATCCTGATCCAATCAGCTCAGGTTGAAAGAAATTTTCCAGCCTCTTATGTAGCATTCTTCACAGTTGGTAACTCATTCCCTTTTCATAGCTGGAGGCACTGAAACACCAGGAGGGAGGTAGCTGGCCTCAGGTCACCCGGCAGGACAGACGCAGAGCAGAGACATGCATTCAAAGTCTCTTGAGTTCTCACTCTAGATGTTGCTTGTCATTCAGCCTTGTTTCACTGACTCACTGTCCTCAAAGTATTCAAAAAAATAATCTCGTATGAAATAAAGACCATCAGGAGTGGAGGTAGCTTTAAAATGTCAATTTCTTTTCTAGGCATCACCATCAATTAAGTGTGATGTTTGTTGGAGGGCCAAATGAAAGGAAGGATTATCATATTGAAGAAGGAGAAGAGGTAACCCATAGGCTGCTTAAGTTTCGCTGTTTTAATTGATCTGTAATGATTAAAGTGCAGCTAGTTTTGAAGCTACAGCTACAGATTAGCAAAGCCAGCCTCAGTGATGTTGTATTTATTAGATCTATTCAAAGACTTAGACAGAATCATTCACCAGAACCATACACCATCTGTGCATTTCCTTTGAAACAAGCACATGAGATCCGATCTGTTTTGCCATAATTCATTTACAACAGGAAACTAGAGAAAGTTGTTCTGACACATCAAAATGTCTCATTTTAACATTTTGGAGCAAAACTTTGGAAAGGTAATGATATTTTTAAAGTAATATTTTGCTGCAGAAGAGATTGATCTGTATTTCAAAAGTAAATCTGAAATTAAAAACACCAAAGTTAAGTATTTTGTTTGTCCTGAAATTATGGTGGGTTTTTTTCTGGACTTTGGGGAAAATATCAGCATTTTCAGCTTCCATTCAGGGTTGGAACGCTAAAGAATAGAATCTCTAAATACTTTTCACATCAATCCCCTTTGCTGCACATCTGTAGCCATTGTGCCAAATGCAAAATATAGGAAGAAAGAGTAAAAACCAATCTGATGTAACAATTTATACCTACCTTGTTTACTGCCTTTCTTATGGAAGTGTCTACTTGTCCTGAGGACTTCTCCAAGTCAGAGGTATCTGAACTGGCTCTGAAGGCACCCTTAGGGAAGTACTTTTGTAAGCCCCAGCCTCAGCGTCTACAGTTCAAGGCAGAAGCGAGCCAAGTTCAGTAAATCCTTTTAAAAATAACACTTTTAAAAGGTGTTTGCTTCTCACTGAATCTTTTCTCAGCCAACCCAAGCATTTCACAACAGCCTTCGTTACTTCTCTGTTACAGTTGTGCCACGCAGGTGTCTGTAGTCATTATAACCGTATCTGAAAGAGCAGATGCTACCTTATCACTGACTCCTGCCTGCTTTGGATTGCCACCACGGTCTCACAGCCCACCCGTGGCTGTGGATAAAGGCACCTCCATCACCTACCAAGTTACCCAGCACACTCCATTATGTCCTTTCCCATTGGGCTGCACAGGGGGAGCTCTGGCAACACCCAGGACCACGCTGGCAGGTTGCTCGAGTTGGGAAGGAGGCAAACCAGGTCTCAGGGCAGTGCATGTAAAGTGATTGTTGCTACCCAGAAGGGTTTAGCATCCATTCTATATTACAAGGAAATCCCAGAGATACTTAGCTGGGGAAAACAAAATGTTGTTTCATCAACATGGTTATGTCCTTGGGAAAGGAGCAATCACATCTGCAGCATGGCTGCTCAGAAAGCACTGATGAATAGCTAATCTGTTCACTGTTGTTATGGAATATTGTAAAGTATTATATATTACATTAAAAAAGAGTGACTTTTGCTGTAAAGATCAATGACACTGAGGTTCAGATGGAAGGTGACAATTCCAAATATCTTTTTTCTGTAAGTCAAATTTTTTGTTTTAACACAATTAATTTATTTCTTGCTCTGAAGAATTGATTAGAGCTATACACTAAGAAAGGAACACACAAAATTGAGCTGAAGTTTAACTGGTACAATAGTTTGCACTATAATATGAAATATATAGATCTTTTTGTCCTTGTCTTTACAATCTTGTCTCTCCCTGCATCTCCCACTTCATACTGGATTATCCTTCATCCCTGACCCATTGCTGTGGGAATCAATTACATAGCAGTTTAACATATGAGCCAATTTTGGTCACTTTCATGGAGGTACAAGATAGTCGTACATTACATGTTACGACAGCTTTTTATCAGACACATTTGCACCTTTGTGTGATCAAATTTAAATCCATGTTTTTCATCAGAGAAGAATCGTGAGACAGAGTATCCTAGTAAACAGGCATATTCCTGAATTAGATTCGGGATAAAAAAAAACCCAAACCTCATTCAAAACCATGATCAGCTCATTATTTTGGCAGGCAAAAGGTCATTTATAGTTCTGAGTGACAATTTGGAAGACAAACTTTATAGGAATTCTATTAAAAGGCCAAATCACAAAGTGAAAACCCACAAATCCTTTATGCAAATGCAGCTGATAGCATTCTAATAGTATTATTCTGGTAGCAAAGAAGGGTTGGTTTAGAAAAGAAAGCTAAATTTAGGATTGTTTGTATCTGTTCACTCATTATTTTCTGTCTGTTATCACACAGCTTATAGCGTGTCCTGTGGCACAACTTGTGCTTGCCAGCCTGGAGTTCAGAGCAGCAAGGGGTTCACATGCAGAGATAAGGGTTAGGAGCATCCTCTCACTCCCAAGCTGTTCTCTGCTGGCACTGTTAACATGCAGGTGCATCAAGAATAACAGTTTTGACTGCCTAATTATGAGAAAAAAATGGAGGCTTGATTTGGACTCTCTTCAAAGCCTTTTAGGGCTGGCTCCTGAACAGCCATTTAGGTGAAAATAACAGCCAGTCTTGCACAACTTTTTTTCCTCTCAGCAAGCAGGAGTTTCCTAAATATGTAACTCAACATTTTCTTCCTCTTAGTTTTCTCTGTAGTATTTCTCTTCCTTCTTAGTTTTCTATGCACTGCTTATTCGCCATCCTTCTGCACCAAACTACTGCCTCATACCTGGGACATTTTTTGCCATTGGACAGGTTTTGTAAGGAGCCAAATCAAGCTGCACCTTGAGGTAAATCATTCACCTTGTTTGGCTTGACTTTACCACTATGACAGAGTCACCCTTTTTCTTATTTGTAAAAGTTAAATTGCCCCTTACTCCCTTCTCCATCAAAACAGAGAGGGAGTCAACAAGCACCTACTTGGGCGTTCTGCGCCTCTACATTAAAGTCATCCTCAAAATGAAACTGAAATACTTTGGGAAAGGCCTCTTGTGTTGAAACATTGCAAAAACCCTGCTGTGAGAAGGAACCTATATAGCTATACAGACACAACTTTCTTGACATGCACTAAAAATAAAGTGTTTGCACTATAGAGTGAGTTTTTCAGATGAATCATTATTCCAATGTATCTCTCTTTTCAAGAGATCTTTGGATGACATGGACTAGTGACTACAAGTCTTGTGTAGTCAACTTGATGAGACCACTGAAAGCTTCTGAGTGGCCCTGACAGGATGCTCAACCCCTCATGGCTATGGGGTACCAGGTGCATTCCGGGTACCAGGTGCATTCCAGATACCAGGGAACTGTCTCAACATACCTTTGTCTCTTGAACTTCTCATCGTACAGTAGCATTTATGACACAAAGAGTTTCAGCGCTTACACAGCTCGCAGACTTCATGGTGTATTTACTGCATTTGTGCTTACTTGTAAAGCCTGGGGAGAGAACCTCCTAATCTTATCTTAAAAATTCATCATGTAACTTCCAAAGAAATAAGGTAGATGAAAACTAGAGGGGGCTGTATATTCTGGAGGAAGGTAACAACAGACAAAGCCTATGATCATAACAAAGTTTAGCTATAGTAAAAAACCATCAGATTTTATTTACTGCATCACACGGGCTGCTTTGGTAGAAAGTGAGATACACCAGCAATCTGGGATCACAGGAGTTGTTAGGCTCCTGTCTCTTCACTCACTTCAGTCCACCACTTCAACGCAATGAATCGCAACTACTCGACTTTGCTTTCTTAAGAATTTATACTCTGATGTTGAGCTTACATAAACCAGTGCAGCTCCATGCACAGCAATTCAAATCAGCCTTTCTTCTACCACCTGCAACACATTTGCATTGGCACAATATTCCGCTTGGTTTTAAAAGCCCTGCTACTGATTGTGCTGTGTGTATTTTATCCTAAGCTCCTGCACTCAGCACCTAAGTTGTTTCCTATGGACAGAGCCACCTAAGTACTGATGCAGCCCCCACAGATCAACACCCTGACACTGCAGCTCCAAAGAGGACTCTCAGAACAGAAATTCCCTCTCCTCTGATCACGCTGAACAATCTCTTCAGCTTCTTCTAGCATGTTTACATGGTCTGATTGATCTATAGTACATCTTGCTTCAAAATGTGATACAGATTGGAGGTCACAGCTGCCACAGCTCATGAGTTTCTCTAAACAGTTTTGATTTCTCTTTTCTTCCCCTCACACATACACTCGTTTCTGACAAATTACCTGCTTAAATGAAGCCTGACCCCCTCCTTCTTGCATACACTGCTCTCTAGTCAGCATGCTCTTCCCTAGCACCTCAACTCTCCCTTTGCATTGTAAGGGGATATTAGAAGGAGAAGAAAAGGGACTAGGTGATCCTTCCAATAGGTAGGTTTGTGGTACTCATTTCCCAAATAAAACTGAAAGCACAAGTCACAGCAAAGCAACAGAAACCTTTTTGTTTCTTTACATTAAAATCCCCCTACCTTTATCTGGTGAAAACTTTTTTAATATTTTAGTAAGAAACTAAGTAATAGGAGCGATGATCCTTTTACATCAGGAAGAGAGTGTGTCTTCAGAAATATTGTTGGGATGAGTTTTGGCTAGTACTCAGGGTTCATAGATGACATGTAAATGAGCAGAGGAGAAAAACAAAACCAAACCCCAAACCACAAGACCCCACCACATAGTTTTCTTTACCTTCCTCAGTGCTTGCCTTCCAGACTTCCAGGGCTGAAAAACCTTGTGATGAGAAAGGGAGAGAATTGGTTTTTTCTGTGTTCAAATAGATAGTCATCGCTGAAGCCTGGAGAACACCCAGGCTCTACTCCTAAATCCAAATTTGATTTGCTTTGCAAATTAATTTAGTACTTACCAGTCTGCAAAGCACTACAAGGCAGGATATGCCAAGTCAGAGCCTAATCCCAGAAGTGGCTGAGCAATCCCAAATTCCAGTCTCAGAAGCAGTCAGCACTGAAAGTACCCTGAAAATTTCAGGTATCTTTGTAAGTCTGTGAATAAGCTCTCAGCTACAAAAGCCCTCAGAGAGCTATGGGGTCTTACATCTAGGCAGAGTTTGATATCAAAGGTGGATCTAAATTAAATTGTATACATTGCTATACATTAAAAAGTGAACCTTTCAATTGGCCTATACAAACCAGTTATAAATTCTGTGTTCTTCCCCTACTACATGTTTCCTTCTTTACTCTTTACTCTGCTAGGACACACATACTTGGATGAAGTAGCAATACAATTCTCACCATGTTAATATGGTGGGGATGATAGCACTCTTTTCAAGGTAGTATTCACACTTTCTATTATGCCATTGAAATGAATTCCTACCAAGACAAGCAGCTTCAGTGATGCTTCCTCTGAAGGGAACAGTGAACTCCCATCTCTCTGCATCCCCATCTAGTGTGCCCAGAAGTGCCTGCATAATTTATTATATGAGTCTTCGTAACTGAGTGAAATACCCCTTTGTTAGTGATAAACCAATCTATAGACTCGGCAATGATTCAGCACTGGTCATGCTGCCTTTCACTGTCGCTTAACACAGTACTATCAGGTTTGAAGCATGATTGAGAAGGGTAAAGCAGAGTAAGGAAGGAGGATGTCATTCTGCAAAAAAGAGAATAACTTTTAGAGGCAAGAATAAGAGAATAAGAGAATAAAAGGAGGTTTTTTTAACATAATCATTACAAGAAGATGCCACATAGTAAGCAGGAAAGCTAAATGACAGGCAGAGGTCTGGAAAATGACAGGAAGAAAAGGTATAAAAAGGATAGTAATTAACAAATCAGCACATTTAGTAACAAAAGGGATAAAACGAGTAGTGAACCACCTTTGTTTCTTCCTTGAACCACATCTTCCACCCAGAAAGACAAATCCATGTCTGATTTTGACCTATTATGCAGTAGCAATGCAGAAATCTAGGCTTTTCTCTACAAGGACATACATATATTACATGTAACAAGAGACATTGTCATTAATGAAGATTCTAATGGAGTAAAAATGTTGCACATTTCCTCAGTTTTCACTGCTATTGTGGTGAATAGATACCAGATTATCCCATTAAAAACAGACCAATTATGAAGCTTGCCTATATATGCATGTGTATTTGTCTATTTTTCCAGGAGATATGTAGAAAAAGGTTATGTTTGCCCAGGAGGCAGAGCTCAGTCAGCATTTAGGAAAAACCATAACATTCTAGCACAGAAAATAGTATAGTAGTTTATTGCCAACCTGTCCTGTGAGATGGGCATGGGCTGTAACTACTGAGGTATTAAACAGTTGTCAGTTTTCTTGATAAAAGTTCAGGGTATAATAGAAGAACAGAAGTAGACCCAGTGGTTACAGCCACTCGTACTGATCACAGTTACATCAGATGATTTATGGATAACTGAAGGACTCAGACATTTTTCGAAGTTTTGAAGAATAGGCCATAATTTACAGTGAAAGGTACTATTTAAATGCAGTCAGAAGAACACTTTCCTTGACAATGCGTAGCCCAACTCACTCCTCTTCTCCCATTGCAAAACAATCCTTTTCATTCAAAATTTACTGTTCAGAATATTTCCTTATCACTGTGATGCTCGACTGGTGAACTGGGTGGCCCTTTCCCCTCTCCAGCCTTCCATTACCAGAATAAACCTCTGCCTCTGTTGTGCCTTCTCTCTCCTAAATGTCCCCTGTGCATGTTCAGGAATAGCTCCCTTGGTAGTTACAGGGAAGGTAACACTCCAAAGCTCAACTTTTCAAATAGAATCTTTCGATTTCAGCTTCACCAGTGCCATATTACCAGTGGCCTGTGTGATTATCCATCAGGATCTAATGGTGTGAGATGAGTCTGTTTCAAAATGAAGGAGAGAACACTTCCCCACTGAAATCACTTGATGATGTACAGTGAGCAGTTAGTCCTGCCCAACACACTCAGTAACAAGGGCTACTACAGCATTTCATATGGTCATTCAATAACACCAGAGAAAATGACAGGGAAAGAACCTGGGGAAATGGAGTACAAGGAGGAGAAGTAGCTTGGCACAGTGGCCATCTAGACAGGACTTATTTATCCATGGGGATGTCCCTGGCACAAGGTGAACTTTTGTGTAACAGCTCTCAGCATGAGCCCTTTTCCAGTACATCTTCAGTTCTTTCTACTGTTTCATTCCCTCAGCAGCATATTTATTCTTTCTTATGTTCATAAAGGTGAATTTTCAAGGGCATGTATTAAAATTTCAAAACTCTTTTGGTAACAATGCTCATTCAGAAAATGGATTAAGCTTTTCTAATGTTGAAAGAGGTTTATTTGGGGGTTTTCATACACTTCAGTGTTTTTTTCCTTCCCCTATTTATTTTCCATTTTGCTAAGGAAATTGTAGTGAATTACTATAAATAAAATTATTTTCATTATAGTTCTAACTTTTTAATCATGTATCAGACAATTTTAGCTGCACTAGCAGTTATATGAATTAATCTATTTGGTTTCTAGATATGGCAAAGAGAACAAGGAGAGCATATAGAAGTTTCGCAAAGTGGCAGAAAAGTAAAGTTGACTTTGTATTACATAAAACAAGGAAAAATGTGCCCATTATTCCAGGTCAAAGAGAGACCTGCTTACAGATCATAGCACAGTCCTGCCATGAAACATAAGGCTAGATCTGTGCACCTCAGAGCCCCAGCAAAGCTACTATGAAAACAGAGCTGTAGAAAGGTCACTGAAGACAGAATTATGGGTTCACTGGGTCTGTCCTTATAGAATCATAGATTCAACCAGGTTGGAAAAGACCTTTAAGCTCATCCAGTCCAACCATTACCCAGCACTGCCAAGGCCACCACTAACCACTGAGGGCCTCATCTACACGGTGTGTGAACACTTGCAGGGATGGTGATTCCCCTTCCAGCCCTGCCCTGGGCAGCCTGTTCCAATGCCTGAGCACCCTCTGGGCACCCTCAGCTCCAGCTAAACCTGCCCTGGGGCAGCTTGAGGCCGTTTCCTCTTGTCCCATCCCTTGTTCCTTGGGAGCAGAGACCAACCCCACCTCACTACAACCTCCTGTCAGGTAGAAGGAATACATACTTCAAATGTGATCCTTTTCCATACACAGTAGGAAGAGCAGCAGCTGTTGCTGGGCTTCGAGAGTATCTGTAGAAAAAAAGCAGAACAGCTTCCAAATAAGCAATTATTCCCAAATGAGAAAGCTCCATTAAAAAAATTAAAACACACACCCAAAAATCCTGTGCGTTTGGAGCTTGTTTGGAAAAGTGACATTTAATTTGACTGAATGCAATAGTGAAGATTCTGCTATATCCAAAATGAATCTTTATATACTGTGTAATTAGCAGAGATCTGACCCATAACATCCCATCCCTACAAAGAGTAATGCCAGAAGTAAAGACAGCACAATGGAATTCCACTGGGTTCCCAGAATAGCTCTGTAAGCAGTTACAGACCTCTTAGTTTGTCAAATATATACAGGATAATGGAAATAATACGTTTAGTAACATTTTCAAATCAACAAAGATTGGAGTCTATTTATTGTAAAAAAAATTCTGCAAATATTTGCAATTAAGGTTGAATGTATCTATACATGTATCCTTTATATACAGAATATGAAGTACAGAATGTTTTGAAGTAGTTACCTTAATGTTATTTTCCTATTCCTTCAGCTTTTTTACCAGGTCAAAGGAGAGATGTGTTTGAAGATAATTGAAAATGGGAAACGAAAAGACATAGTCATCCGAGAAGGGGAGGTAAAACAGGGTTGTTTTTCTGTTATTGTTGTTAAGTGAATAGTTTATAGAAAGGATTTAAAGATCAGTTTATCCCTGCTGTGCCAGAGAAATACCTTGGATGCAGTATAGCAGAATCCATGTAATTAACACCGTGTTCAACATTTCCTGATTTCAATAACACATCAAAATCTTTCTGAGCATTTGGGATACCCATGCAGATAGTCAGCAATACACTGAGAGGAGCTGTTGTTCCCTGCATGCCATGGAATCTGCCATGTGGAATCTAGTGGATCAGTCTTATTTACACACTGTCAGGTACATACTGCTCACTCACCTAAACATGCCATTAAGCAAACTGCCTAGGACTTAGAAAGTGAAGAGATTGGGCTATTTTCAACCTTCTTGAGTCCTCACAACCAGCCTCTGCAACCACCACAATACAAAAATGGTTTAAAAAGAACAATTTATGGATAACATATACCCAGCTGCACTCAGTTGTTTCTCTTTATACTCGTGGACTTGCTAAAGCATAGATTGTAGTGCTCTTAATGAGTGTGACTAGATATTTTACTTGGTAATACTACAGGTTATTAGATGCACTACAACTGCCACTCATTATTATTGTCACAAGCTTGAACTGCACTCAGTCTTTGAAAGGATTATTAGATCTAGCAGGGCCAGCCTTTAAAATGGAAGACATATTAGACTCAGTAACTCGAGGTCATTAAAATTATTATGACATTTTCAGTCAAGAAAATCTACATTTTCAAACCTATAAACAGTGAGACTTCACACTGGAGAAGTGCATCAAGCTGACATCTTGGCATGTACCAGAAGCATTAATAAAAAGGAGCATACAATATCCTTAGTGGGAAGACTGACACTAGTCCTGGTAAAGCACAGTCATTAGTTTAGTTTTGCAGCCAGAAATTGTAATGACTGGCAACACAGGATCAACAGAGTAGGGGCAAAGAGCAGAGGATTTTGCAGGTTGCAGGGCAGGGGAAGGACAACACAAAGAACAAAGACTTCCTGACACTGATGCTTTCCCATTTCTTTGAACAGATGTTCCTCCTACCTGCTAGGATACCTCATTCTCCTCAGAGATACGCAAACACTATGGGTCTTGTGATTGAGAGGGAAAGACTAAAGACAGAAATTGATGGGCTCAGGTGAAGTATAAACTGTTGGTAATCTCTTAGGATTTGCCATATAAACTAATTTCTCATGTCAATACAATACTGTGTTTTACTTTCCTGACAATTTATCACATTCACACTGGAAATTTTGTACTAATTGTATACACACATCTATTTATCTATACACACATAAACAGAGATTTCATTTAGCATTTCATTCAGTTAAGCAACGAACATGTTGAAATGTCTTAAATGCAGGTTGTAGTTTTATCTACTTATGTATTAGCTACTCGTATCACCTTAAGTTTTAAAATCTGAGAGCTCTGTAACACAAATAAAAAATTACTAGTTTATCAATTCTGGCAAAAAGAATATTCATCCCTTTGTAAGCACTGAAAGCAAAATGATGAAGAAGCTTTCTTGGCAAGTGTGTGGGAAGCTGGAAACATAAGTAAATTTTCTTAACACTAACCCCTCTACATTGTGCACGCCTCTGCTTAGCTATTATTGCCTTATCAGAACAATCTCCTCAGGGAAATGAGAGATTTACTTTGTATTCTAGTGGGAGCAGGACTAAGCCTTGTCCTGTACAAGAATTCATAAATCTAAGAAGGCAAGTCACAGTAGTAACATTAAGTTAGAAAAGCTGTGTTAATATTAACTGGATAACAGTTGACAAAAGAGAGTCTACAGCTATTCATGTAACCTATAAAGATGCTAAACTGCAGTAATATCTAATGTACCATTTCTGTCCTTTTGCCTATCTTTTTGGTTGCCATATGGGTGGTGTCACATATGCAGAAAGATAGACTTTTTCATTCAAACCAGAGAGGCTAAAGAAAGAAATAAGAAACTAAGAAAGGAACCATTCAAAAAAAAAACCCAATCAGTAAAAAAAAGAACAAAACCCAAAACCCACCCGATTGGATTCCAAGCTAAAGAGAAATACAGATTGCTTAAAACATTGTTCATCTGTGCCCTTGTGCCTTTTCTTCCTTTCATTGCAGTTCTGTGGATTGTGAACACTTACATGATTAAAAAGGAATTTTAAGCTGGAAACAATTGGCCAGTGACTCAGATAACAGTGTTTATTTGTAATTAAGGAACATAAGTAGCTTTAGGTAACTTTAGGTAAAATAACCTAAACACGAAATCCATGAATGGTAGGAGTTAAATGTCAAATGGTCTTTCGGGGATCCCAGGTAGATGTAGAGATTTGCAGTCCAATTAGTCATGCTTTTGTGGAGAAATTAAACTAAAAGCTATGGTTTGCAGGTGGAAGAAAAATGTATTAACAAAGCACACTCTTAATTGAAGAGAAATCACTGGGTTTAGTGTGCTTGTTTTCATACTGACATGATGAACAAAGACACCTGAAGTTTTGGAAGAGAACAATCATATACTTTTGAACCTACATTGTCTCTCTGTGTGCTATTGGGAGAGATTGGTTGGGATTTATGACTAGAACCTCTAATCTTCTCAAACCACCTTCCTCCCAGCCATCTGCAGCACTGTACAAGAAGTCATAATAAACTTTGAAGTATGCTGACTCAAGGGCTAATATTATGTTACTGTTCCATTATTTATCCTGCATTGAAGTCTCAGTCATAAATCAGAGCTTCCAGCATGCTGATTACCATACTAGTGAAGAATAAGTATCTTGCACCAGTGTTTCAGCCTAAGTAATGATTACATGCTTTGTGCTATAAGAAAAAAGCCCACTAGTTAATCTTAATCCTATGGCAAACAAATACAGGAACAACCAAGTCTGATGTTAGTTGTGTGGTCCTAGTAAGGTGCAAAGTCTTTCCCAGGTGCAAAGCCTTTCCCCAATCAAGACATTTGTAACCTCTTGTCTTGTCTGTAGATTCTCTGTGTTCAAAGGTTGTGCTTGTAGCACAGCTTTTCCCATACTGGAGGTATTAATAACTTTGTTCTTTTCCATGGAACCTGATTTTGCAAAACTTGAGGAGACAGAGAGCTCTTAGGAAGTTTATGGACAACATGTATATAGATGCAAATGACAGTCATGAATACAAAAACGTGCACAGTATCATTGTTTCCCTCTAAAAGGGCACATAGGACCTAAATACACTCAGTCAAAATATGACTGTACTAGAGCATCACTGCCTTGCCAATCCATGCCATCTTTTTTAAATCTGTAGGTAAATTGTGTATGTGCCATTCCATAGATTAGAGCAACCTTGGCTCGTTGATCTCAGCACAATATTTACTTTTCAAGACATAAAATAATGCAAGAAGCACTAAGTTCCTCTTCGGATGGGTGAGCTAAACAACACTTCCCAAATTTACACAGGAGACAACCATCTATGTTTTTGATACCAAGTCCAGAAGCCACCTTGTTTTCTTGCCAGCCACGCATGGGCAATAAGCAAGCTGACTCTCTTAAATACAAGCATTTATGTCATAGCTGCATGGAAGTGCTTACTGGAAAAGGTATTTGGAGACAGTTAGTTTTGAAGTAACTACATCCAAAGTGAGTTACTGGTCCCAAGGGACTATGGCACCAATCCTTCCTAGGATTAAATATGGAAAGTTTGCTTAAAGGAATTTGGTGACTTATCTGTGGCTGATCAAGAGAACTACAAGGCCCTCCACAGAAGTTTGAGCATCCCACCCACCAAGTCAGCTAACCAGGGAAACAGACAGACTCCCTAAATATAACCATTCTTCAGGACAAAGTACCCCAGGCTTCTGAATATCACATTCGTATACAACATAAAGTAGCTATTTTCTTGAAAAGCCTGAAAAGGCCTGATCAGTTAGTTAATAAGAGGATTAACAAATGGTTTTACTTTGTCAGATACTATGTTGGAGATTCAGCTAATGTCCTCTTTGAAAAATGGTTTCACTGTGAAGACCTTGGCACTCAACTTGCACCAATAATTCAAGAGTAAGTTTTTTTCCCTGTGGAAATTTTAGAAGAATGGTTAAAATGATCTAATAGGTCTTCATCAGTCTGTGACTTACCCAGTTCAGGTTCGATTTACGCTGCATTTTACACAGACTTATTAAAACTTAATCGCTGCTTTACAAATTTTTAATCATATCTTGTACATATCAAGGGTTCCCCACATCTGTCTGGAACATAGTTTTTGAACAAGGGAAAGCACACTTCTGCTAAGTGCAACCAGAACTGAATGAAACATTAACACTGATTGATGCTAGGTTAACCAGGTAAAACACTAAATTGCCTTGGGGCTTCTTTCACTCTTGCTTTAATCCCTGTACTTTCAATTGATATTAATAATGAATAATCAGGACTGTGGCAAAAGAGAGCCACTTTTTAGGAAATGTGTGAGTATCAGCAATTGATTTGTTTATTGTTTCCTAAAGATGAACAAGGAAATTGTTTATTGACAGAAATTTTGGAAGACTTTGAGACAAACCCTCTGTAGTTACAGTGATAGCAGCTGAGGATCTGACACATCCATTCTCAGCACAAAGCTTAATGGCCAGTATTACTGCCTAGTATCTGTTAACCTACAGACCATGAACATGACTTTTTACTGGTGTTTAAATGTTTTCTATTCCAGGTTTTTCAATTCAAGACAATATCAAACTGGAAAACCAAATCCAGGTAATGCAAATTCATTTCTGAATAAGAAAATTGCTCATTGATCAGCAGTGATCCTCTCCACAGAAAATGACCACATTTCTGGAGTTCTTATTATGTAAATTAAAGATACTTTGGGAAGTAATTCCTTCCATTACCCCAAACCATGAGTAAAATCCATACACACGCTTGGTTGCCCATATGATGCCATCATACTGACCTATCAGGTAACTGCACAATGTAAAAATCTAAATCTCTGTACCCTTGCATGCCATTCCAGCCTTATACTAACAAAATTGCATTTCTGACTGTGCAGAACGAGATTTTTGTGAGTTGAACCTACACATTCTATATGTACTTTTACTCCTTATAACTATACACTGTGATCTACTCTTCATTTTGCTTCTGTTTGTGGATAGTGATTGCAACTTCCACACTGGAGCAAATAGTCCAGTCATAACTCCTCTTTTGAGGGTGTGGGAAGGAGACATAGGACACAGAGAGACTGTCAAAGAAAACAAATCTATTAGTATCTTTAGGAATCAGATGTCTCCAACATGGTTGCTTTCTACATGGCAACCAAAGTCTCTATTGCAACACTACCTTCAGTGGGAAACTTATTTTGCTGAAATCTTACAATCCTGTTGGCCCCAGCTCCACATGAACATCCAGCGTGTGCATGATCCATTGCTGTCAATTAACATAAACTAGGTACAAAATACCACCCACCTGTCTTTTCTATGCACAAAAGACTACACTATGTGACCGTCTCTGCACCTGCAGTAAGTGTTTCTATGGACTATTTGCAAGCGTTTTAGTTCAGTGCAGCCTGGTCAGTTCTGTTGCAGGAACTACCTGGAAAGTCTCCATGACATTGCTAGGCTCTTAATCAAAACATGGAAAAATACTAATCAGCTTAAGTGCAGCAGGTGCTGCCTCTGGGATCTCCAGTACAGCCCAAGATTCCCACCTGGAGAGTTCCTGCACCAGTTAACCAAATGCTGTTGTGAAGGCCACCAGTTGAGTCAATCCCACTGCTCTACTGAGTTTGTCATTTCCAATCAGTCTGTTGTTTCATGTAGGCAAATGACTGACTGGTGCACATCCTGCACCAACCAGGAAATTTAAGGCTAAGGTGCACTGTATGTGCACACATGCACAGCTCTAATACCCAGGTACGCTACTCTTACAACTGCATGACAAACTTTAATGTCATCCTTCAGTCACTTAAATTCCATAGCTCTCGCCACAGGTTAAATTGCCCTTCCCCTCTCTAAAAAGGTTTTGGAACCAGTTGTCCTTAATCTCATCAAGACCTTAATTTTCTTTATATGAACCATCAAAATGTGTTTATTTTAATTTGATCTTATTTTAATTTGAGCATGTCACCTGCGTGACATGGTTGGGTGTTGATGGTTTGGTTTAGTTGGGGTTTTGAGTAGGGAGTGGGGGCATAGGTAGGGCAGATGCTGTCTCTCGCTGTGTGTTCACATAGTCTAGCAGAGGAAATACAGTTTCAGATGAAGCCTCTAGATGCTGCTGTAATAAAAAAAGTACCATCTCACTGAACATACTATCCTTGTTCGATACAGTGATTTCCAATAAGCATCCCTCAGCAGTCCCAGTTGAGAGCTTATGTGTCAGTAACAAATTATTTACATCAGTACAGGAAAAAAAGAACGTGAAAGATTTATATTGTGAATATTTTTTCAGATTAGAGCTAAATAACCTGACAATCAGAAGATACGATACATCTTGACACTTGGCGTTTGAACACAGAACTCTGAGAAACTGCTATTGATAAATCCAGTACAGAAGCTCTTTCATTGCAATTTATTCAAAAGCTGTAAAAAGCCCAAAAGGCATGAGAGAGTTCCATTAAAAATGAAAAAAGAGGGTTTTTCAAGACAAGAAAAGAAAAACAAACAAGTAAACATAATTATTGTGCTCAGAGATCAATACATCTTTCACCCCTGAATGGATTCTCCTCTTGGATTAACCACCAAGTCAAGACAAGAAATATTTGAAACACTCCTGGCTTAACTCCTGCTGTAAGCAAAACGAAGCTACATGGCAGGCTTTCAGCCTGGGGAACAGCTCCAGTTCCCCAATTTTCAGTTCTTATGGATAATAAGAAGCTCAAAGTCTCGATGATATCTTATACACCAGGAAAATACTCCACATTTTTTGGTTACAGAACTTTCAGCTAGCAGCTCCTGTCAGTGAGACTTTCGTTTAAAAAAACCCAGACCAGCAAACTGAGATGTGAGTAAGCTGGTGATATGTTCCTTCTGAAGGTATACTCAACTGACAGAGAAATCATGCTCTGGATTTATTCCCTCAGCAGCTCCTGTTGTCTTTAAGAACTAGAATTCAACTACCAGCATGATGCTTGTAACGCATAACAAGCTACCAACAGTTTCTCCTGATGTTTCGCTTCAGATATATCTTAACAAGATGTGAGCTGGCCTGTGCAGGGGGCTGGCATTCAGCCTCTTCTTTCAGTTTCTCCTCTGAAACCCCAGAATCCCATCCATTTAAAAGTGCCAACTGAAACACTCTCAGGTTCATCTCTATATAAGCCTGAACAAGGGCCTCACCTTTTTAAGGGAGATGGAACAAAACTGGAGGAAAACATTTCAAACGAAACCCTTGATTGCACCTCACTCATAGAGCAAAGTTATAAATGGAATCAATCAAGCTCCAATTGCTTTTAAAAAACCACCGAACACCCAAGTCCTGAGCTTTTCTTGATTTATTTATGGTTTCTGACTCAGCCAACAACAGAGCAAGTCCCTCAGAAAGCAGGGTACTCAGAAGATATGAAGAGAAAGCAGTAGCTATTAAAAACATATGTTTTTAGAAGAGCAACTCAAATACCATGAGATGAAATATAATCAGAAGCATGTATTGCATGCAATCCTTACTTGAGGCATCTTCTCTGGCACTGGTTTGTACTGAATTACTCACTTCTTTTGTTGCCACATGTAGAAACAAAGCCTGAGAAAGCTCACCCTCCTATTATAAATAAGGGTGAATATATTCAGGATATAGGTTGGGTTGGTTTACACAGTTTTTGACATGAAGAGTCAGACTATCAAAGCAACTCTTGTAGAGTAACTTTCTGCTGAATCTGGCTGGAAGCAAGGTCCTCTCATGATTTCTATTTCATCCCAGTTTTACACTCAAGAGGACAAAGACAGTTCAGACAGACAAACCCTCATTCTAATAAACAGTGATGGCTGAATATTGTTCACAGAAGTATCCAGAAGTTCAAAAGCTTATTCTGCCATGCTCACTGAACTAATCCAGGCTTCTTTCATCTGAAATTGGATCGGGAAAAGTGCAAGAAAAGACATTTCCTAGGTTAAGCCCGTTTAAAAATTATCCTCAAGAACATTAGTGGTGTAGGCAGAATGGCAGGGTTTGTTTATCCAAATTAGTCTACTTCTAATTATGAATGAAATTTGAATTCCCATGAAAGCTTTATTGTCAGTGGACATACAGATCTACAATACAAAAAAGAACCAGTCCTGTAGTGACTTCACTAGCAAAGCTTTCCTCAATTAGAGGTGTATCTAGGGTAATTTATAGGCTCAACTTAAAATCTGGTTAGTACTGCTCGAATACAGCACAGTTTGATGCTTGTGATTCAGAGCAGACAAAACCTAAGGGTCTGAAAGAGTACGAAAAACCGGCTGCTTTCTTCAGTCAGTTGGAGTAGAAATACCATATAGCCAAGGGCATGGTCTATAAACAAATGTTTTCTGGTTTCAGAAGTGCTATTAAACAAGTCACAAGGGTGAACTCAGCACTGTAACAATCAGCTTCTGTGCTGTTAATCCTCTGTAGCTAATCCAGTGCAACCTCTGTAGTCTCATTTCATTGGTGTGTAAAAACAAGCAGATCAAAAGAGAAGAGTGTTAATAGCTGAAAATAAGAAAAACCTAAAGTTTTATTTGCTATGAAGCTGTTTAGAAAACCGAATGTTTGATTCTTTTTGATTCTCTTCTCATCTTTTAAGGACTTCCAACGTATCTAGATAGATTGCTCCTTCTATATTACTTGTTTCTGCTTTGAATACTTGTATTAAAAGCAAATAATCATTTAGATATTGAGTGTTCCTCTAGGGAATTTATCTGGCAAACAACCACCAGGAGGTCTCCAGGGTAGGACAGTATTCAAACTGACAAAGAGCAACACTTGTTTTAAACTGTCTAGACACACCATCATTGTACAGTTCTCTGAAGCACTGTCCTGATAACTTATCAACAACTCGAATATACTCCTTCTTCACATCATCCTTATGGTCTCTATTCTGGCAAAAATGCCAACATAACTACACCGTTCATCTTTATCCCGTCATACCTAAATGCTTTAAGTAACTCCCAAGTCATTTTCATATCTCTCCTGAAGCCCACTTGGACTGCAAAGAGTAGAAGGGAACATAATCATCTAATGTACACCTCCAATTCTGCATATCCATATAATCTCTCACTGGCTTCATCTATTTCATCTCCCATCATATTAACAATTTTCCTCACTGCACTGGTCTCCAGTGAGCCAGCACTGGATATGAAAAGCTTGGACAAACCAACCTATCACCAACATTTAATGCACAAATAAAGTAGAATTACAACATCTGGAGTATGGCTGCTACAATTTGCCATATCAAAACTTCTAATCCCAAACTTTTTAAACCCAAACTACAACGCATCATCCCAAAACCAAAACTGCAGGTTGCATGTTCTCTGGGAGCCTAATGAACTTCAGGCTCCCAGACCCCAGAACTGCAAATTGCAACAGTCAAACAAAAACAGGCCCAAAAATCTCCAGGAAGAAGCCTGCTTCTCCCACAGTATTCTCAGCTGAGCCTCCTCAAAGAAAGGCAGAACATAAACTGTAATCTTCAGGGGCTCTCGTAATGCTTCACCATGGGAACCAAGTCACTACTGACCTTTAGTAGATAATGTATATAATAATCCTATCAGGGAAATTGGAAAAAATGCCTTATAAAGTTGTTTTCCTTTCTGTTCAGACTTTAGTGGAAAGAAAACCCTAATATTTTTAAGAGCTATGAAGCTCAGAGCAGTTTCACAGCAGGTATGTCTTCTCTAATAAGACAGCTTTTTTCTTCCTTACGCTCTTAAATGCTCCCCAGACAGCAACATCTGAAACAGAAAACTCACTAATGGAGTCAGTCTGACATTTTCACTAGTGTTTCTAAGACTGTTTGGTAGGAATAGCTCACATGTGCTGTACAAATCCTTGTTGCACAAATGTAGCGAGGTCTGAACACTTTTTAAAATGAAATATCACATTCCTCTCCTATGGAAGCAGAAGTTATGCAGAGACGAATAATGAAGTGCCCGCAGTTATATAAAAGACAGGTTCAGAAACAAAAATTAATACTCTTGATTTTAGGATTGGAACGTTGTCATTATGTATCATTCTTAATCACATTGACCTAGCTAGATATGAAAAGCCTTTAAACAGAATTACAGCATAAGACTTGCAATGTTGTTGTTCTAATTTATTCCCTTTCCTCTGGCTGGTGAGATCTCCTTCTGAAGGGGCTGTATTTCTTTACTGCAAAAGTATTTTTCAAAGCTTCCCTCAAACTTCTTTGTTTCAATTAGAAAAAGAAAGATTGCTCTTTTGTTTCCAGCATAGATTTAATGACACAGAGAAACGTGCCTAGAAATAATTACCAGGGACAAGTCATAAATTACCAGTCATGCCAATTCTCAGGGCATGCTCCAAAAACAAATACAATTACACAGGGAAATGTATGATTACACCAAATGAGTGCTGCGTTTTCAGCTAAATGTTTCTGCATCTATCCTCAACATCAGCAAAATGAACAAACTACCCCCAAAGTAATCAGTCACCATCACTGCTTTCACACTGGATTGTGGTATGGAATGAACTAACTACTTGGTTTTGCAAACCTGAAATTACATCCCTCAGTCCACAGGTTTTATTTGCAGAGGTATTAAATTCCTACTGGTCTCACTGACATTTCTGTTAACATGGAGAATAAAGCAGACTTTTCCTAGGAATTAGGTAGGTACATATGAGAAAAACACCTCGGTATACATTACTGCTGGCATTGGCAATTAAATGTGAGCTGCTGCAAAACTGCCACATCAGAACTATTCATTATGATATAGTATTCTTTAAGAGATAGAAGGGATGATTAAAAAGCAGACAGAAATAAATGAATACATAATGCTAAAATAACTTGTGAGCTCTTTATCCCCAGCCTGGACCATTTTACACTCAGTTAAAAGGATAAAAAGGTAAAGAGGATCTAGCTGCTCAGTTTGGATAAGGATGTCTTCTGCTTTGGCAGAGGGAGGCACCATTTGTAAGGGACTTTCTCGCATCCCTGCATGGAGATGAGGCCACAGCATGCAAGGACAGACCTTTTCTGAGGCAGTACAGTGACTTAGAATGGAAGGGCTTTCAGAATTAGTGAGAACATATAAGGTGATATAAAGATTCTTCCACCTAGAATGTGCTGCCTATAAGTGAAAGATGGCACATCACTGAAAAACATAGCATTTCATAAAACCAGCATGAGATCAGTTTGATAGTTGACACTATTTCAATATATTGTATTTCATGTGCTTTATTGCTCTCTTCCTTTGCAATAAATCTCGAAGAAACAAGGTTTGTGAAAGAGCTATGGGAAGAGCTTGGGGATAGTAGGTCTCAAGAAACACTCTGGGAGAATGACGTGGTCTCCTTTCTTGGGAAGAAAGCTTAGGCACGTCACAGGGGTAGGGAAGAGGGAACTTCCATGAAACGTGAATGTTTGTGGTAAGCAAATACACTCACATCTACCTGGTAGGCCAGTGGCAGTCCTCTTTATTGCTATCAGAAGTACAGTATTCCCAACAAGTTCAAACTCTTCCTTAGATGTCCTCTGGTGAGGCTGAACTAACTACCTGTATGCTCAGTGGCTGTTCTCCTGCAAGGTGCTCACTCCAGTTTTGCACAGCTTCATACTCTCAGCCTCAGTACAGTCTCTATTCACTGAAATCAACTGCCTTTAAGACCTGTCATTTCCTTTTTTAAAATATTTACAAACTCATTCAGTGAACCTGTCTTTTTCAGCTTAACATGGTATCATCACATTCTAATTGAAAGCTGAAAAGAGCTGTAAACACCATAAAGAATAGATTGCGTGATATGAATATTTAATAGTAATGATCTACAAAAACCAGATTTTACTATTGAACTATTTACTTGGATCTCCTGAACATGTGAGGAAATACTAGATTTGATGTTCCACGCAGTGATGCATTACTTGGAGATACATGAGACCTTCAGCTAACTAGCTTACAACTGCTGTCTTCTTGCATTTTGCTGGCATATTTTCACCTGTACCATAATTAAACATGTTGTCTCGCAGTACTACTAAAACATAAGAACTCTGGAAACACATCAGTTGTACATAACCTGAGATATTGTTCAAAGCTAATGTACAGGCTAAGCAGAAATACATGCAACAATATCTAAAGCTTGATCCTGGAATTCTTTTGACCTGTGGAGATGTATCCCCTGGAGCTGAGCAGGATACTCATGGCATTTGGTACTTCTCTCTTGCCCCACAGGGTAACTACCTCACCTAGGGCACACATTTTAGTAGAAAGCCTTACCAAGGGTAATTTTCTTGTATTCAAAAAGGCTTTTCTGAATTCAGGAGTAACCTGTTTTATTCTGATACCAAAAAAACCCAGAACTCTGTCATCTTTGTATTACTTCAGGAGGTAAGGAGTGCTACTATTAATGAAAAATATAATCTATTGGAATACTAATTCACTGAGCACCTCCTGATAAAATGTCTTCATTTTTTCTTCTCCTCTTCTGTGTGTGAAGATATGTCATAACATTTTAGACCTTTAATTTCTGTCTGACCCTAGCCAAAGAACAATGTTCCAATACAGCTGTAGTTAAGCATATCCATAACTTCAGGACTAAGCGTACAAGATTCCCAATTACCTCCAAAGCAAATGTGATAAACCTGTAAAAATTAAGAAAAACCAAAAAGTGACAGACATATTGCAGGGTGAAAATAAATCACCAATGACCTTAAAACTGCTTTCTAGTACTATCAAATCATGAAATACAGAATGCTCAGACTAGATCCTGTTAAGATTTCAAAGCCCAGATTAGAATAAACCTAATGTAAAGATTTTCATTTTCCTTCTGGTCCTTCTTCATTTTTCTGGAGGAGTCTGGTTCTCAATAAAAGTGTGCTAAGTACTGGAGTGAAATAATGGAAAAGCAGGAAGTTTTCTTTAAAACAAAAACCCTGAAGAAAAAAGCTTTCAAACAAAAAATGTCTTCTTTTGCTGCAGATTTCTTCAGATTGCTTTCAGTTTGTCCTGAAGGAGGCATTGCTGAGACAAATCATTTGCAGAAACATGTTGACTTCTTCCATTTAATAGAAGAGAGAAGACATTTGAATAACAAAAACCTGTTTCTGCAACAAAAGGATTCATCCCATCCAGATTGTCTGGAGATGGATATAGACAGCCAGTGCTTATTCTGATCTATTAAACAGCAGTAGCTTATTCAGTACGCTGCTATCCCTTGGAGGCACTGACTGCCTCACATATTGTTCAAAAAATGACTATATATTGCACACAAAATGGCCTTCCATGGAAAACTGAAATAATACGTTCAGAGCACTGCAGAGCAGTGAAAGAAAACTTGAGAAAAGAACCAGAAGAACACTGCATAGTGAATACTTTAAAAAGACCTACTCTATTACTAGTACCAAGACTAAGATTTGGCTGAGAGTTTATTACCTCAATACACTTGGGAGACAGCCATCTAAGTGAGTTTTTCTGGCATCTAGTTGGCCTTACTACTTGAAATTACTCCAAGGGTGTTCCCCTGTGGCATCTCAGAACAATCTACTTGGGATCGCTAAGGCAATTGCACTGCCTCTGCGCTTCACTGTGAGCTGGTAAATAACTAAAGCTAATTTCATCTACCAATAACACACCTCACAAATCTTGCATTTTGCCAGCTACTCTGGAAGTGCATTCAGTCATCCAGCTATTTAAAATCAAATCAGTTATGAAGGAGAATTACTGGAAATTAAAGCCAGCTGTAACTCCAGAAACAGCACAAAAAAGGCATTCTATGAAATCTAAGGTTGTGATAACCTGTTTGCTTCACTGTGGTCAGTGTATTTAAAAACACAGAGGGGAGAAGAAACATAAAACCCAGTACTAACTGTGTAAATGACGTAAAGTAAGCTGGTTCTATAGGTCTAATTCCCCATATATGGGGATATACAAGGGTCACTTAGCAAAGGCCCACTTTTATCTGTGCAAAAGCTGGTCTGAAAGAAAATTAAGACTATGCCAGCAAGAACTATGTAGTCTATTGCATTGTGTTTGAATGCATTTTTAACAAGTGTGGATACACAGTAGTTCTGACAACATCTTGGAAGAAGTAACTCCATGAAAGATACACACATAATACATGACATCTTACAACCTGATGACCGTAGCACCGTTTACTGTTACAACTGACTTTTGATTAGATAACATCTGTAAATTGAACCCTTCAAGCTGTAAGCAACAGTAAAATGTTTGCAAAGATCAAGGGAAGCCAGTGTCACTGATCACCCTCCACCTTCCTTACAGAGGAACTCCTGAAAGAAACACCTTTCCCTCTAAATTCCACCTCTGTTATGGAGCCATTTTCCTTCCCAGGCTGGCTAAATGATCATCGTGGTGAAATACAGCAGAAGAAATCCTTGAGTATGTTTGGAGATAACTTTGAAACAGAGGTAGGGGGGATCTAATTTCTCTGAAAGAGAGTGGTGTTTTTAAAGAGAGATAGTAGGTGCCTACTCTCCAGACTGTGTGAATCCAAGCCTAGGAACAACACGCGGTCAGCCAAGTCACACACCCCTACGGAACAACTCAGTCTTAGCCTGCCCTGCCCTTTGGAAGTGCCTGTCTTCATCCACTGATTTGACTAGCTTAGGGTAGAGGCTTCCTAACTCAGATAGTTCCATTCACAGAATTAACCTGAACCTTATTTCTGTTCATTTCCTCCGGGATTGAAACAGCTTGCTCACTCCACCCCCAACCCCTCCATAGTTCCCAAATCAGAAATACCCAGCATGATGCAAATACTACTCAAGCGTGCTTGGTTTCCTTGTGTGTTTGGAACAGCATAACGTAGCCAAGTCTAAGCTGGGGGTGTCAATACATTTTTGTTTTGATCCCCTTCAATCTACAGAAAGCAGAAATAAGGAAGACTGGACAGCACCAGAGAGCCTGGGCTGCGATAAGCATTGCGCTTCTCAGTTTAGCCAAACACAGTCTAAGTCTGGTAGTAAATGAAGCTGTCACCATTTGATATCGGTGCTGTATGCACAATAGCTTGCAAAACATGTTCTTTCCCAGGGTTATTTGGAGTCACACTCTGAAGAATGCAATACATTTGACAGCATAGTGACAGTGCGGGGCTGTCAGGAAGAACACAGAAAGGGCAGATAATGAGAAAAATAAGGTCCAGTCTGCAGCTTTTTTAATGCTTAAAGAAGAATCTTTCCTACTTCAACAGGCTCTTGACAGGGCCCAGAGTTCATGAGGAGGAAGTGCCTGTTCCAAGAACAGAAGCAGGAAGGCTAGAGATGCAAAGCTGAGAGTGGGAGGAGGCAGAAGGAATAGATAAGTGAGGATGCAGAGGAGCATAAGGAGTGGCAGGTGTGATCAGTTCCCTTTTTATCAGTAGGAATCAATACAAGATAACCAAACATAATGTGAATTTTAATGTCTGTAAAAATAATGTCATCTTCTATGAATATTTTTCTTTAAAAATAGAATGTTTTAGATCCTGTTGGAAGATGAATATGTACACACTGGTCACTGGGATGAATCCCTTACTTTTATTCCCTATTTTCTTTCAAGGTTATAGCTTATGGACCGGGAACAACTGAGAAAAGTAAAAAGAATTCAGATATCTGGATATGGCAGCTGGTATGTGGCAATTAACATTTGTTAACCACTGAGTTCACATTTCATTTCAGACTGAACAGTAGTAAAGACTTCTAGCACCAGCAACAGAAATTAAGATGATTACCTTCTCATAGAAAAGATCATCAACAAGCACCAGCCTTCAGCTTTAAACTATCATGAAAAATAACTGTAAACCACTGCCACCATAAAAACAGTCTGTTTCCTCATCTTCTACATTGAGGACAGAGATACTGGCATCCACCATCAGGTCTTGGTGGGGATTTTAATATATACACACATACACCCCCAGGGATATCCTGTAAATATATCAGAATGCTTTCAAGTGATGAAAAAGCATCACCTATTACTTCTGCCTTAAAGCATTTGTCCTCATATTGAAGTCAAACTGAAAGCAGGTAAAATACACCAATTAAAAAGTCTAGCTGAGAACATGTTTATACTGAAGCACAGTGGGAGGTGATCCACACGCCCTTCGTTCAGCTGGCTTCTAGGAAAGATTTGCAGCCCAAGGGGAAAACAGGGAAGAGTTAGTTATCATTCACAGTCAGCCTAGCTTGGGGGGGGTGGGGGGGCGGGGATATTTCTATCAGTTCCTGCTCTGTTGAAATTCACAGGGACCATCAAATACTAATTAAAGACATAAAAATATTGAAAGACATTTATTTACACCGCAGCAGACAGCATCTCTGCAATCAAGATCTTGTTGCTGGCATGAACCTGGCTCCTCTCCTAGACAAGATAATGACGAGTCCATTCCGGTGTGGATGGGCTCCTATGAGTGATTTCTGTCAGCTCCCTGCTGATTTGTGAACTGCTTCTCAAGACTTAACAAGACACTAGGAATCAGAAAAGTAGAAGAGGAGCTTGAGCTGTGCCAGGAGGTTGTTATTTCCAGAGCTTGCAGGCTGCTAGGTTAGATTGGTAGCAGTGTACCCCCAAGAGCCAGGCAGTGAGTAGCTGCTTTATGATGGGGAACAATGAACTGTATTTTTATTGATGCTAATAGTGCCAGACAGGGAGGAGCAGCTGAATATTTAGCTAAGCCTCATGAAACAGAGCAGATTTAAATTGCTCTTTCAGTGGGAAAGATTTACTTACCTGCAGCATCTTCTTTCTGCTAGTGACAGGACATGGAAAATTAAAAGCTGATTATCTATTCTTTCCCTTCAGGAGGGCACATCAACTGTTACCATGGATGGCAAAACTCTAACTCTATCTGCTGGTGACAGCCTGCTTGTCCGTGCCCAGTCTATGTGAGTAGAGATTAAGTGGTTCAATGCATGATTTCCCAGCTTCCAACAAAATAAATGCTGTGTATTTGGTCCACACTAGGCTGCACATCAGCTGGTGCAGAAACACAGTACCTGTGAAGGCTATGGATCTGCAATAGCCTCCATTATTCCTCAGGGCAGAAGTGTCTTCAGGAGGAAACAAAGCTAGATTCTAGTTCACCTAGATATGCATTACCAAGAAAAAGCAGCATGCAAAAGACCATGCATAAAGGTGGACTTCACAAATTCACCCATTGGCAGTCACAGCAGATCCTCTAAGCTTCAGGCCAGGCTCAATCAATCTCAATGCAGCAAGATTCGGGGTTCAGACTAAGAATGCAGCTCTCTTCCTGGAGCAGCATGCATGTGGCTGTTCCATAATCATGACACACATGATATATGAAAAGGGAAAAAAAAATCATTTCCAGAGAAAATGGAAAGGGATAGGACATGCCAGCTCTTATGATGAGTGCTGTAAGTGATAAAATGCCCACCATGAAGATGAGGGGTGATGTATACTCACTGCTAATGCAGTGCAGGAGATTATAGGCAGGTGACAAAAATGGCCTTCTTTCCTACAGGAAAAATCTCATAAGTAGCAGTTTGCATCTTTTGCCCAGCACTGAAAACAGTTGCTAAAAGAGCTGAAACTGCACCTGCGATTCCAACATGTAGCCACCTCCTCCCTTCACCATTACTGCCATCACTTTTGTGAAATCACTTAAATTAATCCCTAGTCCTCCAGTCCAATGGAGGAACATGTGTTTTCTAAGCCATGGCAAGCTGCACGTGCAGAGATCTGCCACCATTAAGGCATTTATCAGATGTTTGCAGCAGGCATCTTTTGTATGCATCGCTTCCACACTGACTGATCTCTGGTCATTTGAAACAGCTAATATGAGAGAGATGACCACAAGGCAAATACTACTGAATTTGTAGGATAATACCTGTACTGAGGTGATTCTGTTCTGATCCTCATGTCACCAAGATCAGAATAGATACCTTCCTCCTTGGTTGATCTATAAATAGCTATACATTCTTCCCCACCACATCATGATGTTTGGCTTAGGTTGGTGATGGTACAGAATAATTCCCTTAAATATCAAAAGATCGGCCAATATGCAAAGAGAACACCACCTGTTTGTTTTCCTCTGCTTTTCAGTAGCATCAATGGTCTAGTTACTGGTTTGAGCATGTGGTTCCCCCCATACACACTGGATCATCTCCTTATTTTTCTAGGTACTGCTGGAAAAGAACAGAAGAATGTGTTGCTCTCTGCATTGCTCAGGATCCAAAACGCAAGCAGCCTTATCCCTAGCTCCTGTGTCAGCCAACTTTGATGATAACTAAGTTTTAATCTACTTGTCTTATCTTAATGATCTGTTAGTCAGAACGCGTGGAAATGTGACTAGTCTAAGCCAATGATTACACTGAATTAAGTGGAGTCAAGTCCTGTGCCCAGTTAAAACTTGTTTTCCCCCCAAGTAGTTAAAGTTTCAGCAAAATCTAAAATCAGTAATTTTGTTTAAAAAACCAAACAGAACAATAATTCTTATCTGACAGGAAATGAAAACAGATCCAAGTATCAAGATTATTTATGTAATAATATATACGATGCTGTCTAGAATAAGCTAAAGGCTTTTCAAATGCAAGTCTTTGCCATAAGATGTAGAAAAGGAGATAGGACATGTACTTTTATGCTTGCTTAAGTAACAGTCTTCATTTCTTTGTCTCAGTCTTGTAATTTCTAATAGATAGGGTATAACATTAGTTACCCAGCCCACAGTGGGGAAGCTTTAGTGGGCAGTAGCTTGCAGATTTGCTGAGATATTTGGCTAAAAGGCCCTATAAAAACCAAAACACTGCTTGAGGATCTCAGCACTTTGTGAATGAGAGGAAGGTGCACTAGTAAAGGGGGAAGCAGTACCTGCAGCAACATTAAGTGTTACCTGGATCACTGGTATACTGGCTTCAGGTAGCATCAGTTTACCAGCTCCAGCAATGCAGTATCAATCACAGTGACATGCCACACATCCCATGCTGGCTGCTGCCTCTGCACTGCACTATCAAGAACATAGCACTGCAATATAACTAACACAGGAGTACCCGGGTCATGAGCATTCCTGTGCAGCAGAAATCTCAAGTCAAAGTAGCCCAAGCAGTGTGCTGGGGAACAAGAGAGCAGATGGTTCTGGTTGGTTGGGTTTGGGTTGCATGTTTGTTTTCACTTGTCCTTCACATTAACATCAGCAAAGAGGTTGCTTAAACGTCTGCAGATATTACCAATTATATGTCAAAAAGAGCAAAAAGTTACCACTCCTTGATTTTCTTTTTGTAATTCTAATGAAGTTCAGAAAATACATCTATCACCTACAAAGCTCATTAAATTGAGATGTCATGTTCAAGTGTTCATTCTTCTGATGGGAAACACTCAGGTGCTTGGCTTTAATCTATAACTTACATGTAAGCTCAGTGGTTTTTCTAGTAAAGCATACAGTAGAATTTTGCTACATCCTCCTAACAACAGGGGACCTAATTTGAGAAAGTGAGCCTAGTCCTTAAGGCTATTAGGGGTGTCATGCATGAAAAGGAGCTACAACGTTCCTTTTGAAAAAGGGACTCATTTATCTGATTACCTTTGCTAGTGGCACATGTGCAGAATTGCTTTCTCCTTCAGCAAACAGCTATCATTGAGGAATTTAGGGTACCAAGATGTTATATCTTCAGTTAGAGGGTAACCACAGAAATATTTCTGTCTTTCACACCAAATAATAAGTGCATAAACCACAGGAACGTGTAGAACAATGTCCAGAATAATCAATAGCTCTTTACCCATCCAGAAGCAGAAATAAAAATTAAGGCACCTCTGGATTAGATACTTCCCAGGATTTTCAATTAAGGCCCCACTAAAACTACATTTATGATGAAGCCTTTTTATGACAGCCTGTGCTTGAACACCTGAATTCTACCCACTTCCTATGCTGTGTGCTTCAAATCTGAGCAAGAACCAGACCAGAGCACAAATGAGAGCACAGAGAGAATGTGCCTTTTACTTCTTCCAAGGTGCTAAACCACTGTGATTTAGAAACCTACAACTTCTCTTTTTCCAAGTCTTCAAATAGTTGCAGGGGCTCCTGATCTGTCAGTGAATCTTTATCAGGTGTTTTGTTCTTCCTCTGTATTACACATATTGTAAACTGCCCCAACAATGGCACCTTTAAAATAGATGGACTCCTGCTCCTCTGCTTATGAGGAAGTTGGCCAGATGGAATTTTGGTTCCTGGAGTGCTTTTAGCTGTTAGGAGCTGTTTCTGTCTGTGTGGTTACCTCAGTAGGTACTTTGTCACCAGAGCTGTTGGAATCACACTGTGGGGACTTCACTGCTAATCTTGCTCACAAAGATGGATTTCAGACTTAGGTTAGTGGCAAAAGCTTAGTTAGGTATGTTGTCTGCAACATTTCCTAATGCAGTCCTGTTGACAACATGCTTGTTCATGCATGTCCATGACAACACATGAGCACAAAAGTATGTCCTATGCATACACAAGACATTTTCTTTAGAGCTCTTTCTATACAAAGTGCACCTATACCCTGATTTGGGCATCCATTTTCTATCAGAATTATAGTGTCAGTTCATACTTAATAAACTTACTACATTTTGGCAGATTGTGTTAACCTCATTAGTACAGTATTGCACAGACAGTCCATCTGTTGCTCACTGATTTGCCAAGACTCAAAAGCAAAGGCTTTATACAAATATATATTCTAAGCAGTATTGCCATAAAACCTACACATACCAGAAGCCATACCTACACCATATTTCAGAAATTAATTATTACCTTCAAACACATGCAGGATTATCCAGAATCACAAGCTGGAGGTGACCTGGAGAGCTCAGAAAGACATGAAAAAGAGTTTGAATCTACCTACAGTTATCTGCAGAGAGGTATTCCAAGCCTAAATCTCACCTAACCTGGAAGTCAGCAGGAGCTTTCCCCTTCACTTCAAATGGGAAAAGGTGACGTGGCCCAATCCTGCCAGTTGAGTAAAGTATCAGGGAAGGCTGTGGTTGCTCAGTGCCTTTAAAGTGTTTAATCCCTATGAGAGAACTGTTAAACTTTGTAAAGAGAAATATAAATCACCCCTCTTTATCTATTGATATATTTTGTTTTCTATTATTATAGCATTTAAATCATATAATGAGCAATATAAGCATTATTATATTACTACAAATTGAGCAAGTAATTTACATCTTACAGTCACTCTTTCAGTTCATGTAAGTTAGCAATATAGATCAAAAATATTTAAAGCAATTACTGTCTCCTATTGCCACTAGGCTGACAGGTCTGACCTGACAGGGCACTTCTGTTCTTATTTTGAGCTATGCTGCCTTACATGTATTATGGAAACGAATTGAGAGCGTCTCACTATATTCCTCCTTATTAAGCCCTGAAGTATGAGACCATAACAAAACGAGGTTGATTGGCATGGTTACATTATACATCAGCACTGGTTCAAATCAACTAGTATTGCTTGAAGGAACCATAATACTGAACAAAGAAATAATCCTGCTACAGTATATAAAGCCTGAGTCTTCACCAGCTGCTTCTGTAATACTGCAACAAGGCCCACAAAAACCAACTTCATGCAAAACATGTATGTTTGTGGGTCTGAGAGAACTACAAGGAAAACAATGACTTTCACAGATCATGTAGTGAACATACCAGAGATCAACAGCTGAGGTCAAGATTGTCCAATTTAAAAACAACAACCAAACAAAAAAGAACCCCCCACAGAACAGTTAAGACAAGACAATGATCTAATGCCAACTACATTTCATCTTGCAATGCATAAATTGACAGCTTGTAAAAGTCAAGAGAGGAACTCTTCTTCCTCCATGCTTGCTTTAATTTTAGATCTTGCTTGTTCCTTTGAAGTAACAAACCCTACCAGAGGCAGAGAACTAGACTAGGTAGATCAGTAAACTGGTAGAATCAGGTGTGTTGTAGTCATTACTTTCCTCACAGCATTTACCCCTGCAAAACAATAGTATCTTGTTGCACAAAAATGTAAATGCTTTCATTCTGTTGTTCAAAATATTCATTGTACTCCAATTTCAGCTCTCCAGCCACATTTATTTTATAGAACAGATGCACAGAAAGCAACCCTCCCACCATCACTGCATATGAGTAAAAGAAGAAAAACTACTTAAGCTATTTGACAAATTCCTGCAAAACCAGCTCGTGTTCATAATGCAGAGTGTTCAGGGCTTCGGGCTGTCTTTTGAGTTAATAATCCAGAGTGTGCTTGAATGGGCACTTCAGGCTAATGAAGGTCATCACCTCCTGGTCCATTTCTGATTGAATACACAAGTACTTGTAGAGCTACTCTTCAACATCAAAGTATGCAGAATAATAGCTGTTTAGACCCAAAGAAAACCTGTTGATTTTAAAATAATAATGAAGACATCGAAGTTAATATCTGCCTTGCCACTCAGAGTAAATGCCTGACCTTCAGGTCTTAGCACTATCTGGTGCAGAAAGATTTTATGCTGGATCCAGTCAGCAGTATTTTCAGTGATCATCCAGAAAGTGTGGAAGTGCATAAAAAGTCTCCCTTTTAATGTAATATAAATGGCAGAACAACTCTTTCTGAATTGCTGTTGCTCTAGGTTAAGTACATCTCCAAGATCTTTGGCCTGGTAATTCATTGTAAGTTGCATCAGAACCACATGCTAGAAGATTTGAACACTGCTTTGTATTCTTAGAGTTGATAAATAGGTGCATGTACATGGTGACTGAACAGCTACATGAAAAATTATGTCCCTGGTTTGGGAGATAAAATACACTGAAATTGGAGAAAAATTATTTGGGTTCTAAAAACTCTATGCCATATAACCTTATCAGCCACTCAGAAAGATGTCACGGCTATGACCAAGTACTCTAAGCATAAGCACATTTGCAGCTCAGCAAGGAATTCGGGTACATCTTTACTACATCAGAGAAAAACCAGAGCAAAAATATTTAAACATGTTTTAATGTTTTTCCCCTTGAAGGGAACTAGTTTGCTTAGAAGGCAATGCTAAAGCATGTAGGTGATGAAGCTTGTCCTTTACCCATAGCAGACTTAAAGCCTTCTATATTGTGTTTCCCATAATCTCAAACTGTATGCTTTTATGGTTTGAAAATAGATTTGATGATCCAATTGAGAAAAGAAACTAACACATGACAATGTCTAGAACTGAAGCTGGAACTTCCAACACCACTGGGGTCTCATCCTGGAATATAGTCATTGCACCTTACCTAGCTTTCTGGTGTCTTGCTCTTCCTCTGAAAGCCGCAGGGCAGTACCTGGACTATGTGCAGAAGGCACATTTGGGCACCTCCAGATAGACTCCACATAACTGCTAGGCTGAGCAGAGAGCTGCACACACAGCACAGGGCTGTC